TCCCTGTAACAGAGCCAACAATATTCTTTATTACACACCTTCCCTGTCTAATATAAAATACAACCCTTCCCCCAGTTCAACCTTCCATTGATGGTTCCTCTTCCCTCATGTTATTCTGTTCCTTCCTTAACAATTACCATTATTTTATTTATTTATTTATTTATTTATTTATTTATTTATTTATTGTTTTTCTCCACTAGTGGAATGTAAACTTCATTAAGATAGACATTTTAATTGTTTTTTTTTTCCTGCTTTATGTTTAGTCCCCAGAAAAGTCAGTCACATAGGAGGTGCTCAATGATACTTGTTAAATGAAGAAAAGAAGGAAGGAAGGAAGGAAGGAAGGAAGGAAGGAAGGAAGGAAGGAAGGAAGGAAGGAAGGAAGGAAGGAAGGAAGGAGGGGAGGCCATAAATATAGAGTTGCAAATAGGATGTGATATTGATGATGCTCCTAGTTAAGGAAACTAAGATGTAACTTATGTTGTCTAATTTGAATCTTGTAGATCAAAATAATACTAGAAAAACTGACCCAGCCTAATTTGAATATCTGAGTAGGAGTGATTGAAAGGTAAGGTTTGGCATACTTTCTCTTATGTTTGAATTTGGTTGTACTTCCTGATATTCTTAATTGTTTACTTCTAACTTCTGAATATTTGGGAAGTATAAAACTCAGCAAATAGATACATGTATCTATTCATATGAAATTACCTTGGAAAAATTGACTTTGGGTTAAAATTTATTAGTGAATGTTCTGGAAGGGTTCAACTGCTGGAGGTTTGGTTTAAACTAGTTATTTCAGAAGTACAATTGGGAGGAGACCAGAAAGAGACTCTAACAATGGGCAAGGGCTTATCTAAACTATTTCTGTTAATGCTTCTCTCTTAGCTCATGCTTGTAACAGGATATTATCTGCTCCTCGCTGGTGCCTCTTGGGGGTATGAAATCACTAAAACTTCTGATGACCCTGCCAGCCAGCTCTGTGCGCTCCCTGCACCTCCTCCTGACCTCGGTGGGCTGAGGTGCCAGGGGGAGCCATGGTTTGGTATGAGTTACTCGGGTTATTTACACGGCCAAACAAAACTGTCAACGGGAAGCTGCCCAGCAGGCTTCCAAGCAGCGATTCAGAGTCTTGTGGACAGCAGGGCTTGGCACTGGCACAGCCAGGAACAGAACAGCAGCCGCTTCTCCCTGCAGAGCTCGGCATCCTGGTGCTGAATGAACTCATTTTCACTTACACCACTCTTCTAGAAACATGGGTCAAAGGCTGAATGTTTGGAACCGCCAGCCTCAAAGTTGAGCAACAGATGAGAAGCCTCATGTTGGAATGAAAGAACAGTTTCTTTCCATCCAGGCAAGTTTACCCTCTTATTGTCTTCATTGTAGCTTACTTATTGTGCTTTTAACTTTAAAAAATTACAATGAAGTATTACATGCAAAAGACTATTTAAAGATATATGTAAACTATAAAGATTAATGATACAACACACATTCATGAACACCTGCCCCTCGGTCTAGTTTGAGAGAGAGAGAAAAAGTATTACCACTATCTTGGAAGTCTTCCATTTGTCCCTCCATGAACCTTTCTTTCCCTGTCAGAGGTACACAGTCATATGAATTTTTGTGTTATTTGCTTGCTATAAGTTTTACCAGATATGCATGTATTTCTAAAAAATATGTGTTGTTTAGTTTTGTTTGTTTGTGGGACTTATATAGATACAGTATATTTTCTTCTACAATCTGCTTTTTGGACTCAAGATTATTTTTCAGAGAGTCATCTATGGTTGTTGTGTGTGGCTGTGATTAATTTGGTGTTTTTTTGGGGGGGCGGTAATGTTTAGTATTCTACAAATAAACACATCACAGTTTGTTTATCTATTCTACTGTTGGCGAACATTTCAATTGTTTCTAGGTTTTTGCTGTTCCAAAACTGCCACTATGAACATTCTTGTACATGTTTCTGAATGTCTGCATGCAAAAATTTCTCTAAAATACATACTTAAGAGGGGGATTGCTGGAACATAGGATAGTCACATCTTTAGCTTATTAGATATGTTGAATTATTTTTCAAAGCAGTTGTATCATTTCATGCTTGCCCTGGCTGTTCTTGTCATTCTACATCTTCTCCAACACATGGTACTGGACTTTTTCATTGCCAATCAGATGGGGATGAAGTGATCTCTCACGGTTTAATTTGCATTTTCCTTATACTAAGGAAGTTAAGATCTCTTCACATCTAGATTAACTATTCAGGGTTTCTTTTCTGCTAGAAATGTATTTATGTCAATTTTTTTTAGTTATTCATCTTTTTCTTGTTGATACGTAAGAATTCTTTATATAACTTTTATACTATTTATCCAGTTTATTTGTTATAGATATCTCTACTAGTTTGAGGCTTATCACTCTAATTTTGGTGTTTTGGGATAAACAGACATTCTTATTTTTAATATAGAAAAATTTGTTAAGATTTTACTTTTGTGTATTTTATTACTTGGTAAGAGCATATCCTATTTTGGCTCAAATTCTTGCGATGTCTCCCTATTTTATTCATAATCATACCCAGTGTTCTAACAATGGCATGATCTGGTTCCCCTTACCTCTTTGCCCTTTTCTCCTTCTACTCTCTGTTTTGTTTTTCCTGGTTCAACTACATTGACCTCCTTGTTCTACTTCTAATATGCTAGACATACTTGTCTTAGGCCTGAGCATAGGCTATTTCCTTTGCCCACAATGCTTTCCCCCCAGAAATATGTGCATGGCTAACTACTTTAGCTCCTTCAGTTTGTTCTGGTGTCACCTTCCCCCTGAGGAGCGTGGTGTCTCAACTCCACATCAGTCTCCCCAGCCCTGAGCACCAGAGCTGGGAAGAGGTGCCCACATAACATTCTGTCCACCAGGGAGAGACGAGAGTCTGCTAGAGACACAAGCACCCTATTAAAGGGCCAACACAGAAAATCTTGTTCATAGCCACTCCCTTGGGCTCTGCAGCCATTCACCCTGGGTTCAGGTGGAGGGAAGGCAAAGTGGACTAGCGTCATGTGAGCAGAGACTGGGGTTTGTGACTCTGGGGAGATAGCTGAAGGGACAGCTGCCAGGAACCCTGTGCTGAGCCCCTCTTCCATACCACAGAAGTCATCTTTCATGGGTAGAGCATTCCCTTATGGCATCAGCCTGGGGCAATGCAATAGCCACACCCACCGGACTCCCTATTGTCCCACCCTGTGGAGCTCATGCCCTGCTGAGGAGTCAGCTGCCTGGACCAGGGACTGGAGATCCGGGCAGATTTAGGGGTATCAGTGACTGAGTTGTGTGGCTTTGAGGTAGGGGTCATTTCCTCACTTTCTAGTGAATCTGACTGATGCCTCCCCCTTAAGGGAGATTTGCTAGCCCCATCGCCCAGGCTTCTGGAAGCCCCACCCTCCTGACTCCTGGTGGCCCCACCCTGCAGAGTGTGGGCTCCCCTGGAGGTCTGGGCAGAATCCAAGATAGGCTAAGTTGTGTGGCTCTGAGGTGGGGCCTACTCCCTCTCATCTTCTCCCAAGTTTGATTGGCACCTTCCCCTCATAGGTGATCCACTAGCTCTATTCTCACGACTCCAGGTGGCCCCACCCTGCTGAACCTGGGCTCCCAGCAGAATATGGGATATTCTGAGTTGTGTGGCTCTAGGACAGGGGCCATCTTCCCCTCACATGCCTGGCTGGTTCAGAGCCCTCCCTTCACAAAATCAAATCTTGGTCTGTTTGGGCCTGATAAACTCTGCTGGCCTCACCCTGATGACTCTCTGAGACATCACCACAAAGATCTGTGGGCACCCTGCAGGGGGCAGCTAGACTTGGTATACCTTAGGACATTTGCTGAGTGACCTCAGACCCAGCACTGGCGATGAGATTGAACCTGTATCAATTTGGTGAACACCACTCGCTCCTACCTGAAATAGTGACTAGACAATTTGTCCATGAAACATGGGATTCGCCAGTTCCCTAAGTCAGTCACATGACATTGTATCCAGCTTGTGAGCCTCAGTTTGATTTCTTTCTCACTCACAGTAGGGCAATATCTAAGACCTTGATCTCTGATGGGTCTTTGACAGGGTTCCACACCTCCTGGCTTTAGGATATTTTGGAAGTTCTACTACACTTCTTTTGAACAGCAATGAAATTGCCTCAAGCAAAAGAAAATTAAAGAAAATTATCATTTCCTCCCAATTAGGATGGTAAATATTGGCAGTTTTTCAAATGGTGGAAATTCAAGTCTTGTTTGGTAGGGGAATATAGGGATATCCCATCTGAAGACATGGGAATGGACTAGATATACTTTTATGGCATCCAGGATTTAAAGAAAAGGTATGGGAGCAATATTTAAAAATAAACTGTAGTTTCTTATGGTACTAATTACTGGGATGTACACCTGAAACTAATATAATATTATAAAAGATGACTTAAATAAAAAACAAACAGAAAATACATAATATTTGGAGTCTCTATTTTCTCTGAAATCTTTCTCTTTCACTGGACACCCCAATGCTGTATGTGGACCATGTGACTTCACTTCCCTGGCCATCAAAGTGTGGAGGTTATGAACTGTTGAACCAAACAGGGTCCAGAAAAATTGGAATCAGGATTCAAAAGGATTAGACACCACCTCTTATGCTGGAAAGACAGGTAGACATGGGAGATGAAGCTAACATTTTGGTTCAGCCATTTCTGCCATGAATACAGAAAAAGCCATCTGCAAGATGGAACGAGGAGGAAAGCAGAATTTAGAGAGGGGCCGAGAAGAGTGAACACATGGCTTCAGGGAGAGAGGAGGAGACTTGGGTCTTCGTGTCAATATAGTTCCTGGCTCCAGTCTCTTTGATACAAGCTGCTTCTCTTATCCTCAGATTATTTAGATACCTGAATATCCTGGCAATTAACCCCCTTTTCTGGCTCACGTGACTTTGAGTGAATTTTTAGCCTTGCTGATCTGAAATGTTACTGTGCACATCCACTATAGAGCAGTCTTCAGAGCAGTCCAATGGTCTTGGAACCATTCCCAGAGCTGTGGTTAGTAGTATCTGAAGCATCTAAAGGGGTTCTTAATAAGAAATGGTTCCTGAATTTAGGCTAATAGTTGGGTCTAATGCATTTCGACAACTTGTGACCATGACATTACACTTTTGAACAAATGGAAACCATACGGAATTTTAGGTTAAACTACATTCAGTGCTCAATAGTTTTATTGAAACAAAGAAATCAAACATTTCAGCATGACATGATTAAAAACTATTAGAACTCAAATTCTTCTGCATAAAATATTTTGATGACTAAACCCACAGCAACTTTTTTTTTTTTTTACTTTCCTGTTAGAGTTCCACAGAAGGAAATGGCCCAATACGGGGGTATTGGAGTACTGAAGCACAATGATAAGGAAAAGCCTAGGCTTGCTCCTGATAAAAAGAAAAGAAAAAAACACACAACATCAATGTCTTTTCAAGGACGTGTTTGGGAATGTGGGGATGCAGGAAGGGGGTGGGGAAAAAGGGGATGTCACAGTTTCCAAACTAGCTTTTCAACAATTTCAAGATCTAGCTAGTTAGCTATCAACATTAAATCAATTGATTCAAAGATCTGGGAAACTGCTGTTAGGTTAGGTTCCTAGGTGGATACTTTGCTTTTGTGTAAGTTATTCTTTGAATGCCCAGAAATGAAGTGATTGCTTCAGCTATAAAAAGTCAATAGATTCTCTTAGTGTTGTCCTTTCATTTAGTAATTCATATTTCTTTGAATATGCCTTGAGTGCTCTCTAGATTCACCTTGAAAGGCAGTATTTCTGGACACTTAAGAGCACAGAATCCAGAGCCAAAATGCTTAGAATTGACCCAGGCAAGGGTTTTGTGATCTCTGTGCCTCAGTTTCCTCATCCAGGAACAAATGAGTTAACATACTTAAGTCACATACAATAATGCATGGCAGGGAGCAAGCACTACCTAAGTATTAGCTTTGACATCTCTGAGTAGTTGGTGTTCTCTGGGAACACACCTTGAGAAATGTTTAACAATTCCACCAGCACTAATTTGGAATGCACAGTAAGGTGGCTACTCACCATGAATTTCTTCAGCCATGTATGCTGGGACCCCCTTGCACATGCCAACGATGGGTTTTCCAAACTTGTCCAGGTTGTCGACTTTGTCGGAGTTGATGGAGTATGTCAGGCCTTTGGGAGGTGGTCCACCTGGTCCTTCACCCTGAAACTGTGTATAGAGAAGACAGGGAAAAAGAAAGAGGGAGAATGAATGCTAAGCCCAGTGGTTCATTGAATTGAGGATTGTGTACAAGACCAACAGGCAGTATTGCTTAACTATAATTTTTCCATAATCAAAATGAAGAAGAACCAATTGCAACTGTGCGCATCTCAGAATTTCTAAGTGTCCCAAGGCATTTAGCTGGCGTGAAACTTAACTGTGTATCCTCTATTTTTTTCTAAATCTAATATCCTTAACTCAATTCTTACAGAAAAATGTCCTTGAAAAAGTGCTGGAAGCTCTCCTGGGAGTGAGCAGAGTTTTGTTTCTCTAACAGTAAATGTTAGATGTTCTGAGAACCTCTGTAGGGGGAGGTGCGAGCCATAGCTTTTGAGCTTGGAGGCAGCTGCTTCTCAGGCACTTATCAATTCCACTTCCCCTTTTGTGTTGCACACTACTGTGGTCAAGAGGGAATGACTGTGACCATCTCATTTTTTTCTGGAGATCCCAAGACCTCCCCTGAACAAAAGTAAAAAAGACTTTTATTTTTACCTTCTTTTCCTTGACCATTGCATCAAGGGCTTGAAGAGAGGGCATGACACCCTTGTTCATTCTGTGCACAATGCATGCCTTCTTGCGAAAAACTCGGACTGCAGCAAAGCCCTGTTAGGAAGATGGTAGGTAGTGAGGAGTATGTTCTCCAAGCAGCTTTTTTTTTTTTGTCAGAAATCGCTTTGCCAGCAGAGGGAAATGGAACTCTGAGATCATGTTGAACTGGGATAAGAGTGCAGGATCTGACCCTGTTTTGCAATCCTATTTTTCGCTAACATTTCTAAGGATAAACCACTAAATCTTTGACGGGGCAGAGCCTGAGTGTCTAACTTGTTGCTTTATCTTCAAGTTCTAGCGTGGTAAGAGTCATGACATATGTCTGTTTTGCTGAAATAAACTTTAAAATATTATCACATTTTAATCTCCTTTGATCTTTACATTTCAAGGGGGCAGGTAAGACAGGAAATAGTTTTCTAATTTATCAGATGATAAAACTAAACCAAAAAAGAGTTGGCTTTTTAAAAGTACAAAGTTTGTTAAATACAGAGCTGGTAATTGGACAATTGGGTCTTCTAACTAGAGCCAAGTATTTTTTGCTGCCCTTACCAATTAATACTATCATTTGCATTTCCCCGAGTCCTTTTGAATTACGAGTGAAATGCCAATTTTCATTTTTTAGAAGGAAATTGAAAATAGAATGAGATAGGCTATACTTTGGCAGCAGTAATATTGCGATGGCCTTTGATCATTGTTGAGGGTATCTGCAGGCAAAGCAAAAGGTTGGCTCATATTTGTCTTAGAGCCCTACCAACCCCTTGAACATAGTGGATCCTACATATTGTTCATTGGTTTGAATTTTAACTGATGGTGGGAAACTTACTAGCAGCAGTTGTATCTAGAGGGTGAAACTAGGTGAGCAAAATAGGCACTTTTGCTTATAACTATGCTTATGTGCAGTTAGAATTTACTTTTTATGGTTAGCAGGCAATTTTTTTTTTTAGCTAAAAAAGAAACCTCGTATTTGTAAAGAATGGAAATAGCCTGTTGGCCACCTACAGTGTTGTAATCCAAGAGCATATTCCAGGAGTCCAATCCATCATTGTTGTCAACATTGGCCACGTTCTGTGCATTGTTGACACTCACTGACAGCTGTCCACTTCCACCACTGTTGTTGCTATCGCCGCTGTTGACATTCTGAAATGTGTGAGAAATTGATAATGCTTTAATATTACATTTCTTTTGCAAATACATTTTGGTAACACTTTAAAAGGTGAGACTTACATATTCAGCAAGGGCAGGAGCCAGGAGGACACCAAGAAGTCCAGCAAAGAAAATCTGAAATCACAAATAACATTGGTCTCCGGTCACATGGCAAGACAATGTCCTCTTCTTTCTTTCTCTACCCAAGCTCATAGAAAATATTTACTAATTTTACTACTCTGTGAGGTATGCTTTCTGTTCTTCTTTGCCCTGTATATTTTTAACTATCGAAAGTTTTAATGATAATGTAGAATTGTAGGTTACTTACAGTAATTATGTTGTGATATATAGTTTTATAATTTTTTAATGTAGGTCGTGTGAAAAAAAATAATAAAGTGTTGGTATATTAAAAAATAAAATTGAAAATTAATAGTATGATATGAAAATGGTTATAAGTTCTGAGAATCACATCTGAAAATGATTTAAGTTACTTTCCCTATTTGATATGAATGCCTTCCTTCCTTCCTTCCTAGACCTCCTAATAGCAGTAGTCTTTTTAATTTTTAAAAGCAATAGATTAGTAAACAGGTTGAATACTGGTGTTGCCTGGCTGTCAAGTGTGGTTGGCATAAGGGAAGTTAGTAACTGTCCCAGGGTACCTGGGTTAGTCATTTGTCACTGGGTCCATGATCCTGCTTGTCAAAACACGGAGTTTTATGCAGGGTGCCTGATTCTGAGCACCTATTCTCATTTCCTTTACCTGGGACAAAATGGTTTGAGAACTGCACTGGTAATTCAAGGTAATTTTTTTATTTGCTTAATTTCTCTCCTGATAGCTTAGGAAGAAAGTAAAAATTAGCTTCAAAAAAAGTGTCAAGAGATGAAAGAAATTTTAGAGAGGAATAGTACAATGCAGTCTTTTCACAGCTCAGGAAATTGAGCTTCAGACGTTACTTAAGTGACTTGACCAAGTTTGTATTGGCCAAGGTTCTATCCCTTGTTCATTGCAGAACTAGGAAAGATCCAGATATGACCTCTTTAAAAAAACAACACAAACTGTGGTTTCTAAAACTTATTTCTAGATAATGATTTTATACTCTATTATGAAGCAGTCTGCTGTAATAAATTTTAGTATTTAGTATGTTGAAACATGAAAGTACTCATCTGATTCTAGCCTCATACATGCTGTTATAAAACACACTTGATACCACCAGTTGTTTTGGCAGAATTTTGTGGTCCACCTGCTGTACTCCTAGCCCTTTATCTGGAACCACAGGTGAAATGCTGCACTAGTTCATGCTTCAGGTGTTTTCATGAATAAATGAGTCTGGACAAGGTCCTGGGCAAGCCGTTCTGACTTGGAGATCCATTTGACAGCAGAGAATGTGCCAGTAAGTCTCTCCCTCATTTGCTTTGATAAGATGCTTTTTATCTTGCCTGAACATACTTAGGAGTTTTGGTAAAAGAGGGAGTTAAGAAAGAGGGGAAAGATCAGACATTTTCTAGGGATTTGGGACTGCTTGCTCTTCGCCCAGACTTAAATCTGGAGATCTGGAAGGTAATTTTATTAAAAATAGCATGGTATAAGATTCTCAGACAGCTGTTTAATCCCAGTATAACTATCCTTCTCTGTAGAGATGCTTATAAACATCACAATTCTGTGAAAATAAAAGACATATTTTTAAAACAAAATTTTCCATTATGGTGATATTGTCGTAAGAAGCAGATGCCCTTAGCTCAAAATGTTGACAGTCTCCTATTATAACATAATAAATTCAAAAGAAAAATTCTACTCACTGTGAACTTCATCTTGACTTCACCAGAGTGATGGAGTGGAGGAGGCAGGCAGGCATGGAATCAGACAAGTTCTCTCATATTTGTACTTGACTGGCTTTACTCAAAGTAGGTGTGACCAGGTGGAGTCAAAGACTTATCTTCCCTCATTTCCCATATCCATGCCATAATCCAGTGTAGCAAGAAGCTTTTGGAATATCTACCTGATTAGCAAGGCACTTTGACATAGAGTTCATCTGACTCATCATTTGTTGAAGTTGAAGATATCATAACAAACTCAATATGATTTATGATAACTTATGAAGTGCGGGTGTGGGTATTTTATATATTGATATTCCAGATTCAGAAAAGGAATAATCCCTAAAATCAAACAAGATCACAGATAAGAAACTGTGGACACATTGGGCCTTCCAGGGAGCATGTGTGAATGTACGAATGACTTCATTCCTGTAAGAATGTGAGAATGACTTCCTCTCCTTACCTTTACCTGAACCCATTGTAATGGTTTTGCTTAGGCTAAACATGTTCTATTAGCTAACCCCACCAAACCTACTCCCTTTTCTGCAGTCCTGAGCTCTCACCATGATAGTACCATGCATTTGGTTGGGCAACCTGGGGGCTGTCTTCAGCCTATTCTTCTGACCACCTCATCCCATTAGTTACTCAACCTTGTCATTTCATCTTAGAAATGCCTTTTGCTCTTTTTCATGGCGCCTCCAAGGCAGACGGCTGCTTCAGGATGAAGCTGAACATCTCTTTCCCAGCCACTAGCTGCCAGAAACTCACTGATGTGGATGATGCATGCAAACTTCGTACCTTTTATGAGAAGCGTATGGACACAGAAGTTGCTGCTAACATACTGGGTGGAAAATGGAAGGGTTATGTGGTTGGAATCAGTAGTGGGAATGACAAACAAGATTTCCCCTTGAAGCAGGTGTCTTGACCCATGGCTGTGTCCTCCTGCTGCTGAGTAAGGGGCATCTCTGTTATAGACCACGGAGGACTGGGGAGAGCGTAAATCTCTCAGGGTTGCATTGTGAATGCCAGTCTCAGTGTTCTCAACTTGGTCATTGTAAAAAAAGGAGAAAAAGATATTCCTGGTCTCACTGATACTACTGTGCTTTGTCGCCAGGGGCCCCAAAGAGCTAGCAGAATATGCAAACTTTTCAATTGCTCTAAAGAAGATGACATCCACCAATATGTTGTGAGAAATCCCCTCAACAAAGAAGGCAAGAAACCTAGGCCTAAAGCACCCAAGCTTCAGTGTTTCGTTACTCCAAACGCTCTGCAACACAAATGTGAGTGTATTGTTCTGGAGAAACAACATACTAAGAAAAATAAGGATGAGGCCATAGAGTATGCTAAATGTCTGCCAAGAGAATGAAGGAGACTGAAGAAAAATGTCAGGAAGAGCCCTGGCCAGGTGGCTCATTGGTGGAGCATTGTCCTGTGCACCAAAAGGTTGTAGGTTCGATCCCCGGTCAGGACACTTACGAGAGGCAATCAATTGATGTTCACATCGATGTTCTCTTTCTCTCTCTCTCTCTCTCTCTCTCTCTCTCTCTCTAATTAATAAAAATATATTCAAGTTAGGATAAAAAAAAAAGAAGAAAGAAAAACACCAGGAACAGATTGCCCAGAAACTTAGGCTTTTACCTCTGAGTCCAGTTAAAAGTGAGTTTTTTTCTACGAGTAACAAGTAAGTAAGATCAAGCTTTAAAAAAGAAAGTAAGAAAGAAATGAAAGAAATGCCTCTCATATCTGTCCTTCCCATAGCTCCTCTCACCTAGACTCTTACAACAGTTATGTAATTGATCACTCCGTCACCATCTTTTACATTTCAGTGCATTACTCTGCCATGCTTAGCACCTTTCACTGACAGCTTATGAGATGAACTTCAAACTCATTGGAATGACTTCCAGGGTCTTTTATAATAAGGTTCCCAAAGCCTTCCAAGCTGTATCTGTCTGTCTCCACCATGTAGTACATTCTAGCTACACCAGAGTTCCCACCATTCTTGGAATACTCAGGATGTTCCATGCCATTCTCTCACCCTGGAGTACCAACCCCTTGCCTTTCTGTTTTTTAATTAAATTTATTGGGGTGACATTGGTCAACATGAACATATAGGTTTCAGGTGTGGGTTTCTAGGTTACATGATCTATTCTTGCCTTTCTTGAATTGGTAAACTGCTATTCATTTTTCAAGGCCCAGCTCAATACCACTCCTTCTCAATTTTCCTGGAGCTATAAAAGAAATTTCTGTCCCTTTATTGACTTGTAGATCATTTATTTGACAAAAATTATGTTAAGATAATAAAAAATATTTTCATCAAAAACAAAGAGTAGAAACTGTCACTGACAAACAAGTAAATGCTCAGGAGGTGAATTTAAGTTGTATTTTTTTCCTGTACTTCCTACAAATTTAAGGTGGTAAATCAACTTGCTGAAGAGGAAAACTTTATTTCATTAATCATTGATCTATAAATTTCCCCTTTGGATACCTTCTTGAGCCCATGATTATCTTTTTATGTGTGGACTAGAGGCCCAGTGCACAAAATTTGAGCATGGATAGGGTCCCTAGGCCTGGCCAGCAATCAGGGCCAATCAGGGCCTTCCGGCTGCTGGCTGGGGCCTTCCTTTGTTCTGCTCCTGCCCCTGGTGGTCAGCGCACATGATAGCGAGCAATTGAACTCCCGGTCTCCTGGTCAAACTCCTAAGGGGACAACTTGCATATTAGGCTTTTATATATATAGATTGTAATCACAGCATGTGGTTGCATGGTTATAAAGCTTGATTTACTACCAATAGCTCTATCAAAATGTTGGCCTGGGTGGTAAGATTTTATTTATGTTTTAAATGTGTCCACAAATTTCTTTCAAATTCACTCTTTAGCTGCAAAAGATCAATTAGCCTGGGGTGGGAGGCAGACATGTGAAGAGGTATTCATCTGCTTTGGGAACTGTCACATGGCTGCAAAGTCAAAGAGTGTTTGGCATGGTGCCTTTCCACTCAGCCACAAGTAGTTGTTTTAGTACATGGGCACAGGACCTAGAGCACTTTGTGCATGTCATATCTTACCAAGGACTTGAGGTTGACATTTTTACAGTGGGCCTGTGAATGGTCCATGACAAATAGAGAGACAGAGTGCTCCATGACAAATAGAGAGATAGAGATAGACAATGCATGTTCACATATCAAATGTACTGAGAAATCTGTAGGGGAGAAATCTATGTCACACTGTTTCATCCAGATTCTCCTCAATTTAAGTTTCCATAGATCCCAGTTGCTTTTCCTTTCCCTTTTATTAATTTATTTTTTTCAACACACATTAACATCCCTGGGGGACATGTGCTACTTCTGAGGTTGCACCCTGGATTTCAAAATCCATTTGGGGAACTACTGATTGGAACTAGAAGCCAGGAGACTTTGATTCTATTGTGCTTTCTTCATTCAGTAAGTCTTTTTTACCCTCTATGGGTCAAAGAGAAAAAAATTCCTTCTGTATACAATATTGTTACTTTAGTGGCTCCAAAAATCAGAAGACCCTCTTCCTCTGTTAATTTTTAAAAAAATATATTTTATTGATTTTTTTTACAGAAAGGAAGGGAGAGGGTTAGAAAGTTAGAAACATTGATGAGAGAGAAACATCGATCAGTTGCCTCTTGCACACCCCCTACTGGGGATGTGCCCCCAACCAAGGCATATGCCCTTGACCGGAATCGAACCTGGGACCCTTCAGTCCACAGGCCGACGCTCTATCCACTGAGCCAAACTGGTCAGGGCATCTTCCTCTGTTCTTTGTGTTGCACATGTATGAAGTGTGTTCGTGAGTGTGTGAGGGTGAGTGGGGGTAAGGTGGATCGTCAGCTCTTACCTCAACCCTTGTCTCTCATCTAAGGTCAAAAGTATTAAGGAAGCATGAGCAAGTCCCTTGCTTGTTCTCACACTGAGAGTATATTTTGTATGCTTCTTGTCCCATAGGAGAAAGACTGAATATATCCATGTTTGTTTTTGACACCTCCATAGAACTTAGAATATGCTGGCACATATATGATGCTCAATAGGCCTGGTTTTAAAAATTGTAATTGCAGCCCATCTGGGTGTGGCTCAGTGGTTGAGCCTTAACCCAGAAAGCAAGAGGTCACCAGTTCGATTCCTGGTCCCAATGGGAGTGTATGTAGAAGGCATCTGATCGATGGTTCTCTCTCATCATTGATTTTTTTATCTCTCTTTCCCTTCCTTTCTGAAATCAATAAGAATATATTTTTAAAAATTGTAATTGCATAAAAGAGGTGCTTAAGCTAGACAATAAAAATGAACTATATTTATTTATGAGTTTTGGAGCCAGTGGGAGAGGTGCTGACCTATATTGGCTAGAATGATGCATTAAGGGAGTCCCAGGAGATGGTGTGGCCCCAATGAGTCAATAGAGCCTGCCCTGCTCACAGAGCTTGATGTGGGGCCATGCCAAGAACCCTATGGTCATTTTATCTCCCAGCACACACACCCAAGGCCTCACTTTCCCCACACCCTGTCATGTCGAACTGGGTGGGAACTCCCTTAGTGTGGAACAAATGGAATACAGCCCACATATAATATGTTCATGCTGTAGATCTGGAGGGCCTTTAGCGCTTTCAGACTTTTCTCTAAATGGAAGGGAATATCTCTGTGCAGGGTACTTTATCATCATTAAATAACCTTATTCAAGATTCCCTCTCCTGTGTAGACATGGTAATGGGCTGGCTTTGCAGTCAGTTATGAGGCCCTTAGTAAATCTCGTCTTCCCTTTCATTCTTTGCTGTTTCTGATATTCAGGACTCTAATTAATTTGCTTCAGTGTAGAAGCCCGTTCAGGCAGAGATTCTGAGTCAGTCTCTTTGCCTTTATGATTGTTTTCCTGAGCATCCTCTGCATCAGTGTGAAGACCCTTTGGATGGTCTCAAGTCAGGTGGTTCATTGTGAAGTGTGAATACATTTTGCCATCTCAGGGGAAATTTTTGTCTCGGCCAGTCATCTTGG